TATCGTTGTTTAAAAGCACGGAATATATGATCGGAGTACCGTCCCCTTCGAAATTCACTGTTGAAATGAGACGTTGTCCTCTATCAAATTACTTTTATTAAATATTGTTTATGTGACTTTCCGAACGTTGCGCATGTCTATAAAGAAAATATTGCATTTAATAAATGAAAATTAAGATTACAACACTCGGATTTTAGTATTTTTATTATTTATATGTAATTATTTAATCGCTCCTGCGCAATGATGACTTCGACGATAAAATTTGTTATCTAATATTATTTACATATATATACATATACATAAATATATTTCAGGTGATAAAAGATAAACAAAAAAAACAGCGTAAAAAGTTAAAACAAAAAAAGAATTACCAATAAAGATTGATATTAATCAAACGATATACAAAACGTGAATCATAATAAAAATTATTCGAACGAATAAAATGTGTTTTACATTAATTTTCCTACGAAAACAACAACGACAAATGTTAAATACTATTATTTTTTTTTTCTTCGCGGCGACACAAATTAGCGCGCGTAATGTTTTTGAAAGAGAAGAAAAAAAAAAAAAGTAAGAAAACAAAAAAAAAAACAGGAAACAAAAAGAAAAAGATAAAAGAAGAATGAGAAGCGAAGAGGGTAAAAAAAAAACCGAAAGAAAAAAAGAAGAATAAGAATAAGAATAAGAAGAAGAAGAGAAAAAAAAAATTGGAAAAGACGCAGGGTTAATTCTGTGGGCCTGTTAGAAAGAGAAAGAGAGTGTTTACTACGTTAGCTACTAGTAGATGGAAAAAGAAAGAAATAGGGCGCATTCTCGAATAATACACCTACGCGTACACATATTATAAACACACCCCCATCCACGCACCCACACACACACAAACAAGGTTAGATATCGCGAGGTATAGACCCCACACGGTGGGCGAGAACCGTAATGGGTTGAAGAGAGTAGTCGAAAGGGCGCAGTCGCGAAGCCGGTGAAACCCTCGACCCCCGGCCACCATCACCACCACCACCATAACTACCTAACTACCACCACTACCAATTCCCCCACCACTACCACCACCACCACCACTAGGAGCTAGAAACTAGGAGTAGGAGTATAACCAGCACTACCACCACCATCATAAGCAATACCACCATTACCAACACCATCATAAGCAATACCACCACCATCACCAACACCATCATAAGCAATACCACCATCCCCACCGGCCACCATCACTACTACCACAACCACCACCACCACCATTACTACTATTACTACCACCACCAGTACTACCCCACCACCATCAGAAATAGCAGCAGCAGCAGCAGCACCAGCACCAGCAGCAGCATCGCCGACGACGAACGTCGAGCGGCGTCGGCGTCGACGTCCTACCGGCGCGACGGGAGAATCTCGTCGTTTTCCTACCTTCCGAGAGAAATCGAGTCCGACTCGTGCGGGGGTGCGGGCCGCACACGGTTCGCCGGAAAAGTCCTCGCGGAAATATTCAACGACCATTTTCGATAAAAACCCTGGAATATATATATATATATATAGATATATATATATATAGATATACATATACATATATATATATATAATATATAAGTAGTAACTACCAATATTATTGGCGGCCGATCGAACAATTCACACCTTGTTGTTTTTTGTTTTCCTTTCTATATACATATTTATATACGTACATATATATATATATATATATGTATATTTATATATATACTAAATGTATAAATATATGTATACAGAGACGAATGTATACGTGCATATACGTAGGTGTAATTTCTCATTTCATTTCTTTGATCGCTCGTGTTGCCGAGAAATAAATTTTCCCGCGTCCGATTTGATGAAGGAAGAAAGATAAGGGGAAAGAGAAAGAGAGAGAAAGAGAGAGAAAGATAATCACAAAGTGAAGTAAGTAATCGTCGTGATTCGAGAAAGGGAATTCCCTCTTTGGAGAGAGACCTTCTTCTATATTCCTTCTATTCCTTCGAGAAGATAAGATATAAAGGTGAGAAGGTCAGGAAAAAAACGTATGAAATAAAAAAGAAGATTTGAGATTTGGATTATATAAAGGAAGAAGTATTTCTGTGTCCCTCGTTCGTCCTGGTTTAAAAGAAGAAGAAAAAGAAGAAGAAGAATAATAATAATAATAAGAAGAAGAAGAAATAACGAACAAACCAACTGAAGGAAGGAAGGAAGGAAGTAAGGAAAAAGGGCACACAAAAGGGTGTCACTAAAAGAGATTTTACTTCGCGACCCAAAGCAAACTTTCCTACTTCGAAGAGTTTTCAAGGTATTACCAAAAAGGAAAACAAATAAAGAAAGAAAGAAAGAAAGAAAGAGAAAAGAAAAAAAAAAGAAAAAAAGGGGTAGCAGTGCGCGTGTTTGTGTGCGTGCTCTAAATAATAATAATAATGGCCAATAGCGATTGAATATCTTCGCAACAATCTGCGGACACGTAAGTGTTACTCGAGCGTTAAGTTACATTCTTTCTCTGGCGTTGATTAGCTGGCTGAGAAAAGGATGCGGGTTTGAATTCCGTTCGAATGAAACTTAGAAAGATAGACAAAGATAGAAATAGTATTCTGCGGGAAGGACATTTCGTCGACTTTACGAGGGTTTTCAACTCGTTAAATCGCACGGACCTACTACGAGACTACTCCCCCACATTCAACCCCGTAACCCACCCCATTGAACCTTGCAGTTTCGTTTCAACGTTTCCCGTTCCCATTGGATTTATCGATCGAGCAGCGACTTTAGAATGACAGGATTTCGATTTAAGGCTCTCGCGATTTAAATGCCATTCAACGACGTTATCTTCGTAACAGTCGACCCTACCACGGTTTTATCTACCTTTACCTATCAACTATAAATACTATGTCCACTTTCGGTCAACATATTATTCTATCCCTTTTTATTTTATCTTTTTAACCATTATCTCTCTCTCTTTTTCTTCTTCTTTTTATATTTCCATTTACTTTCTTTCTAATAGGATACATAACTCATTGATTTTTCGATATCTCCCAATGGTATTCTCGAGAAAAATATTTCCGAAGGAAAAGCAAATGCGCGAGAATCGACCTACCCCCTTGGGTAAAACTATATTCGAGTTAGGTAAAGGGAAAAGAGAGATGGTGGAAGATAGATAGATAGATAGATAGATAGATAGATAGATGGAGAAAGATAGATAAAACAAAGTTTAACTGGAAAATAGTATTTGCTTTATACTTCTGTGTTGAGACATTTATTAAAACTCACAATAAACTACGATATAAATTCGAACATCTTTCATGTTTCAATCTATATTTAATAGCCTTTATTACATTTTAATTTTAATTACATTAATGTATGTATAAGATATTTTACATGGACCAAAATAGAAAGAGATAGATGAAGAAGACACAAACGGAGATTTGGTAGATAAATAAAGGGGAAACAGATAGAGATAAAAAGAGAGAGAGAGAGAGAAAAAAAAAAAACAAAGAAAGAATTACAATCGTGTTTGTGCATACGAACGGATGGATCTGCATGTTCCCTATTTATAGGAGTTATCTTATCGAACATTGTGTTTCTATTGTCACCGTTCGTTTGGACATGATGACGATAACAATGCCGATGTCAAACGCAAAAATTCATTATACCGTAATCAAAATCGTATTTTCCACCATTTCCCAATTCATTTCCTACTTTATTTTCCCCCATTGTATTTAGTATTCTTTTCGATAGACATTTAATTACTTTTAAATCGGTCAACCGGATGAAAGGGAACGGAGGAATGTAATGATCAAAAATGATCAAGGCAGATTAAAATAAAAAAAAGACAGCAAGAGAGACAGAGAGAGAGAGAGAGAGAGAGAGAGAAGAAGATAAAATTCATTTTATAAACAAATACAGAAACGTTTCCAAGCTCGATTCGATGAATTCCTATAAAGGGAAGGGATTGGAGTGAAGAGGGTTGTAAAGTTATGCCGATCCATTTTAAAAGAGTAAAATCGCTTTGATCCCCTTTACTTTGATTAGAGATATATTTAACTTTGGGTTCCGCTAACGTGGTCTAAGCTGGATTTTCTCTGAATTTCAAATACAGCCCTACTCATTCATTTGGCCTTTTCCAACCACCCCTTTTCTCTCCCGCACCCTGTCCCCCTGCCCATCCCATCCAACCCCTTCCCACCCCCTCCCACTCCACAATCTTCTCATCCCCCTTAGGGGCGTTTCTTGACCCTTTTGCTGCTCGTGCTTAACTGGAGTAAAGTTTAACTCATCCCTGGAAGGACTAATTTTCTTTTACTTCGAAAGACGAGTCTTCTCGTTCGTTCGTTCATTCTCGTTTGAAATTTTCTTCCTCCTTCTGAGAGTAGGAAACTGAAACAACGGTGGAAATAATAAAGAAAGAAAGAATGAATGAATGGAAATGAAAAATAATACAAAAAAAAAAAAAGAAAGAAAGAAAAAGAAGAAAATAAAAAAAAAATATAAAATATAAAGAAAGGGGTAGATTAAAAGAAAGAAAGAAAGAAAATAGAAACACGGTGAGAATTAAATAGATGGAAAGAGGATATGAGAAATGAGATAATCGAGTATTATTAGAACGCGAACAAAGACTTGATACAAAGGGCCAGTGCTTGTAAGAGTAACAGAATCGTGTGAGGGTTGGTTGAAATCGTAACTTTATGGATGATAAAATTCATAGGTTATCTCTTCTCGTCTTAACGTTTACCATTATCTTCGAACATTACCCCGTCCCTTATTACTCGAATAAAGTTTGATTTTTTTCTGGTTATTTTTTAGTTTTTTTCTAGTCTTTTTCTTTTTCATCCTTTCTTTCTCTTATGACAAGAAGGTAGTAGAGAAACATTTTGTTCTATTTCACAAAAAGAGACCGTACTTACGTTTTCTTTTCTAAAACCTCGTGTTACGTATTATATACACCACCACCACCACCACCAACCAGCCAGCCAGCCACTTCTTCTCATAAAACAATCGTGAAATTCTTGAAATATATTATAGTGAAGTTGGTGGTGGTGGTGGTGGTGGTGGTAGTATTTTTGTTCTCCTTCTTCTCCATATTCTTCTTCTTTTTGCATGTTTTTTTGACGAGTAACATTAATATTTAAACAACTACGTCTCGTAAAAGCTGCTTTGACTGTTAAGAAAGTTTAACGATTATAATGTCGTACGATGAAGTTACACGATGTAGAAAAGTTATGGGTATAACTATTTGACAGGTAGTTTAACCTTTAAGTAGAGAAAAGTTTAATTATAATATACCCATCTCTCGTCTGGATATAAAATAATTTTCTTTTTTTTTTTTTATCATTAACGTTAATAATACTCTTACGCGTTATTTACTTTTTATTTATTACTTTAAATCTCAATATTATCTTTTTATTTTATTTTAGTTTATTTCAACTTATAATTATATACTTTTTGTTTTACACTTAATGAGCCACCAACTCTGATGCACAAACTAATACCCTCATCTATAAGAGAGATCTTTGAATCCTGAACACCCTTTGAACCGACTCTATAATCGTAGGATATACTAACAGATACGTGTACACGTTAAGATATATATATACATATATATATATATATATATATCTATGTATATGTATATGTAATATATAATTAATCTCGTCCAATATTACGGATTATTCTAGATCGTATATTAGCTCGGCTCTAACTAGACTCCGAGCAAAATTCTACGGCAAACGCAGATATTATAATTTCGAGGTCGATTTTAACGGAAGCAAGCTCGCCCGTTCGTTCGTTCGTTCGTTCGAGCGTGAAAACTTTACGAGAAAAGTTAAAACTTTCTCTCTATTCGAAGGAAAAATGTGAAACTTCAGTCGGTCCTCTCTTCCCTCTCTTTTACCTCTTGCTTTTCATTCTTCTTTTATATTTTTTACCCTCAGCCTTGTACTCCTCCTCCTCCACCACCACCACAACCACCACCTTTTCCACCATCATTTTTCCCTCCCTCTCTTTCTTTCTATATTTTTCTTTTTCTATTTCTCATTTAAAGGATAAGAAGGATATTCCAAGAATTCTCAACGTAATACTGTTATATAATACACACACATACATACATATATATATATATATATTAGTTGCTATAAATTTGAAGGTAGAAACGGGTAAACCCTAAACGTCAAGCGACGTGTCCAACGTTTGTTCACTTCTATGTGAGCTTTCATTCGGTTATACGTTTTAACGTGCGCATCCTACCGAAAGATAGAGCCGGATTCAACGCTTAAGAGTCGGACGAATGAAATTGGAAAAAACGTTCAATCTTTCATTGTCCTTTTTTCTTCTTCCTTTTTTTTTTTTTATTATTTTTTCTAAATCCCACTATCCCTACCGTTCGATAAAAATATCAATTTGTGTACGTGCGTATGCACGTTCACACACACACGTGTGTGTGTGTGTGTGTGTGTATGGGGTGGTGCAGCTTTGTCTTTTCTTTTTCCAATCTCTTCGATGTTATTATTTTTTTTTTAAATATATTTACTCTTTTTTTTTTTTTCATTAAAATATTATGATCACATCTCTTGTATTACACGGATACGTATAACACGGACCGACACACATACACCATATAATAGACACTTATATGTGTATCGCAGCGTACCTATATAAATAGCTTACGAGCCTGAGCGCTTTATTACTCGATCTTCGAGTAGCATTATCAAGAAAATGACTCTGAAATTTATCGCTTATGCAAATATTACCGAGAAGATGAGATAATGTCCTATCGTTATGAGTTCGAGCCACTATAGAAGAATTTTATGTCGCTAGGGGATACAGCTGGTGGGGAGTGGGGATGGGTGGTATTCGATGGTTTAACCTGCTTCTACTTCTTTTCTTTTCTTTTCTTTTCAAAAAATATTTCCATCTTTCTATCTTTCTATCTAATATCTTGACATATTTATATATATATCCGAGTTAATATAATATATTATATTTAAATGTGTGAGATATAATACACGTTTGATTGCATAACAAAATGTAATATATTATAAAGAGAAAGAGAAAGATAAAGAGAAAGAGAGGATCAAGAGAAAGAAAGGATTACTATTGTTGACTTCTGCAAAGCAATTACTTTCCACGGTAATTGGATATTTTGTCTTTTGTTTTCGTTTCCAACGGGGGAAAAAGACAAAATAGAAAAACATTTAAAAAAAAAAAAAGAAATCGCAAAGATGTTTTTGATGATAATAAAAAAGAAAAAAAAGATAATAAATAAAAAACAAAACAAAGAAAGAATATATATAATGAGAAAAAAAATGCAAATGCATTTAACGTAGAAGGAACAAGAATGAACTAGTATATACACGAGTATTTTGTGGACTAAAAGCATCGGTGGTAGGGAAGTTGTTCGAAATTAGTCGGACTCCTAACTTCCGAAGCAATTTCAAAGATCTTAGAGCATTCGAGAAAATGAGAAAGAGAAAG